CTCTGACCCTTCTCCTTACCAAACATGATATCCTTCTCCAGCGACTGGTCCCTCCTGACAATATGTCCAAAGTATGACCCGACGAAGTATGGCCATCTTGGTCTCCAAGGAGCACTCTGGCTGCACTTCTACCAAAATGGATCTATTGGTTCTTTTGGCAGACCATGGCACTTTCAATATTCTCCTCCAATACTGTAACTCAAAAGCATCAATTCTTCTATGGTCTTCCTTATTCACTGTCCAGCTTTCACATATATATGAGGTTATTGAAAACACCATTTGAATAGTCATGATAAACTCTACTTTGAAGAGGCAATTCTTCCCCAATCATTTTGAGTGCTTTCCAAACTGAGGGCTTATCTTCTGGCACTGTATCTGACAGTGTTCTACTGTTATTTATAAGGTTTTCAGTGGCTAACCATTCCTTCTTCCTCCTCTAGTTTAGTCTTGAAGATCAGCTGAAACCTGTACACCATTTGTGACCCTGCTGGTCTTTCAAATACTAGTGGCATAGCTTCCAGCATCACAGCAACACATCAATGATCACAGGACAACAAATGGACAGATGAGTGGTGGGTCATAGACAAGCTAAATTAACTGGAAGAAATCAGGAACTAAAAGAGCTGAACAGAAAATTTCAAAGGGTAGCTTGAAAACACAATGTCCTTTCTTGCAATGAAATATGCAAAGACCTGGAGTTAGATAACCAAAAGTGAAGAACATGCTCAGCATTTCTTAAGCTAAAGGAATTGAAAAAAATTTCAAGGCTTTAGGATTCTTTGGCAAAATATTGAATGATGCAGGAAGAATCAAAAGAAGATGGAAAGACCACTGTACCAAAAATAATTTCTCAAATTTGAATCCTTTCACGAGGTATCATATAATTAAGAATTAATTATATTGAGGAAAGAATCCCAAGCTTTACTGAGTGTATTAGCAAAAAACAAGGCCCTGGGAGGATTCCTGAGCCCATGGACAAGGACATTACCACAGAGGACTAGAGCTGAGAGTGAAGCATCCAGCTGCTGTAAAGTGAGGGGAGACACACAAGAATGGCCAGACTTGCAAATAGTACTACCATTTGACTTAGCTTGATGATCAGAACTCAACTCAAATAAGATAAAAAACAATTTTTGATAAATGAAACGAGTATAAATTGCTACAATTTGATGAACTTGACCTATACTTATGGATGTAGTGGCTCAAAATACCAACTGACAGGGAAGGAGTCTTCACATCAAGTATCAACGCTATCCCCTCTGTATACAGGGTAGATGGGGACGAGCAACTTAGACACTGGCTACCTAAAATGTTGTTGTTGTTGTTGCTAAGTGCCGTCGAGTCGGTTCCGACCCATAGCGACCCTGTACAGGGTTTCTGAGGGTGTAAATCTTTACGGGAGTAGAAAGCCTCATCTTTCTCCCGCGGAGTGGCTGGTAGTTTCGAACTGCTGACCTTAAGGTTCGCAGCCCAATTCGTAACCACTACGCTACCAGAGCACCTACCTAAAATGAGGGGGCTATAAAGGCATGAAGCGACTGGCTTACAAGTTTTCAAGGGAGTTTAGTTTAAGAGTGTGAGGGGGAAGGTAGAGTCCCCTCTGAATAGTTTTCATCTTGTCTAGATGGGTCTGGTTAAAAGAGATGGGGATAAGATCCTTATGATTCAATAATGAGTGGTTGTTATCATGACTAACTGCAACCGTCACCACTGTAAAGGTAGAAGTTTTGTAACAAAAAGGGGGTAGCTGATCTTACAGTCCAGGAGCATAAAACTCTGGGACCATCAAGGGAGAAGAGCATGAATGGAACATGGGACCCTATCCAGAGAAACAACAACACCAGAGATGGAGGCAGAGATGAGGACATGGAGAGAGAGAGAGCAAATGAGGACTCTAGACTCATGGAAAGAGAAAGACTGAGTGCTGGTGGTCAGGAGGTAGGCTTTCAGAATGTTCCCCTTGGTTGTTTAAATGATTATATATTCATGAATGTTTTTGTTTACATCCCCCCCAAACAACAATAACAATAAACAAACAGGGAATAAAAACAAATATGCTGAATGATGATATGTGGAGGAGGTTGTAATAATTGCAATGAAACAATGAGTGTAAAACCAATGTTCTCCCATGTAAACTACTACTCAATTCACAATAAAAACAAAACAAAACAAAAACAAGGTCCCAGGAATTGATGGAATACAAATTGACATGTTTCGATCAACTGGCTGCTCACTCCTCTATGCCAATAAATGTGGAAGACAGGTACCTTGCCAACAGATTTGAAGAGATCCATATTTGTGCCTATTCCAAAGAAAGGTGACCCAATGGAATGTGGAAATCATTGAGCAATATCATGGATATCACATGTAATAAGATTTTGCTGAAGATAATTTAAAAGCAGTTGTAGCAGTACATTGACAGGTAGCTGTCAGAAAAACAAGCTGGATTCTGAAGAGGTTTTGGAATGAGGGTTATCATTGATGATGTCAGATGGTCAGATGTATCTTGGTTGAAAGCAGAGAATACCAGAAAGGTGTTTAATTGTGCTTTACTGACTATGCAAAGATATTTAACTTTGTGCATCTTAACAACGTATGGATAACAGTGAAAATAATGGGAATTCCAGACACTTCATTGTGCTCATGAGGAACCAGTTCATAGACCAAGAGGCAGTTGTTCATACAGAACAGGGGAATACGGAATGATCTAAAATCAGAAAAAGTGTGCATCAGGGTCATAACATTTATCACACTATTCAGTCTGTATGCCGAGCAAATAATCAGAGGAGCTGGATTATATAAAAGAGAATGTGGCATCAGGATTGGAGGAAGACTCATAAATAACTGGCAATATTCAGATGATACAATGTTGCTTGCTAAAAACAAAGAGGACTTGAAATACTTAACTAATGATATCAAAGTCTGCAGCCTTCAGTATGGACTGCAACTCAATGTAAAGAAAACAAAAATCCTCACAACTGGACCAATAAATAATATTGTGATAAGTGGAGAAAAGATTGAAGTTGTCAAAGATTTCAGTTTTCTTGGGTCCACAATCAGCACTCATGAAAGCAGTAGTCGATAAATCAAATGTCATATTGCATTAGACGTATCTGCTCCAAAAGACCTATTTAGTGTTAAAAAGCAAAGATGTCAGTTTGAGGACTAAGGTGCGCCTGATTCAAGCCATGGTATTTTCAGTTCCTTCATATGCATGTGAAAGTTGGACAATGAATAAGGAAGACCATAGAAGGATAGTTTGAAGTATGGTTTTGGGGAATAAAATTGAAAGTACTATGGATTGCCTGAGAACAAGCAAATCTGTCTTGGAAGAAGTACAGCCAGAATGCTCCTTAGAAGGGAGAATGGCGAGACTTCATCTTGCGACATTTTATCAGGAGTGATCAGTCTCTGGAGAAGGACATCATGCTTGGTAAAGTGGAGGGTCAGAAACAAAGAGGAAGACCCCCAACGAGATGGACTAACACAGTGCCAACAACCATGGGTTCAAACATGACAACAATTGTGAGGATGGTGCAGAACTGGGCAGTGTTTTGTTCTGTTGTGTATAGGGGCGAGGGGAGCTTGACATGCAAACAATGATGTACATGACATTCCATCTTCAGAATCTTGCAACAGCTCCCACGTGTCTTTGTATTGTAGCCAAGCTCCTTAACATCCAATGTTAACCTTGCTTACCTGTACAATTCCTCTTTCTCTTCATTTCTTAGATTGACAATTTGTCCTTTAAGGTTCTATTTAAGCAGTACATCATAATTTTCATCTAGTGTCTCGTCGTAGTAGGGGATTGCTTTCTGTGCTTCCATATCACCCTGACTTCATCTTTTTGTGTGTGATCAGCCCTAACTTTACTAGATGTTTTCCCTGGGGAGCTTAAAAGATTCATGTGTTTTAGTTCCACTGCAGGTCAAATAAATCAGAATCTTGGGGTAGGGAATAGGGGTGTGTGTATCATTCTACTTCACTATTATGTCTCTCTCTCTGTCCATCCATCCATCCATCCATCCATCCATCCATCCATCCATCCATCCATCATCCATCATCCATCAACCAGCCAACCATGGACCCATCCTCCTATCCATCCATCCAACCATCTCCTGGGGGCAATGGCTGTTCCCTGGTAGAATTCTCACTTCCCTGCTGGAGTTCATGCGCCGTCACCACCTATCAGTGGAGCCTTGTATGTTGCTCTGACGCTGAACAGGTTTCAGTGGAGCTTCCAGACTAAGCTGGACTAGGAAGAAGGGCTTGATTTTCTACTTCTGAGAATCAGCCAGTGAAAATCCTACGGACTCTATGACCCCATGTGAAGCTGATCTGAAACCCATACTGGGGATAATGCAAGACGGGGCTGCATTGTTGTTCTCTTGTGCTTGGGCTTGCCATGAGTCAGGCAGACTTGACCGCAGCTCACAACCACCACCATCACTCATTTGTCACCCTTTCTGATGCTCCCCACGTGAGTCTGATGTGCTGTTGGTAAAAACAACAGAAGTCTGCCTTTGTGGGGAGCAAACAGACCTGGTCCTGTTGCCAGTCCCCAAACTCAACTTGTTTGAAGATATGGACAGAATCACTGGATTTATCACCCAAATTCCATTCACCTTTTATTCTGTGATCCTAACCCTATTTTGGTAGGATGATTACCTCCTGTTCTTTACCTCTACTATCCCCTCCCACTTCCCACTTACTATTTTTGGTAATTCCATTTAGATATGTGAAAGCCATTTTGTTGTTGTTATTGTTAAGTGCCGTTGCATTGGTTCCGACTCATAGTGACCCTGTATAAGGTTTCTAAAGAGTGACTGATGAGTTTGAACCGCCGACCTTGAGATTCAAACCAACCTTCTGGTCCAGTACATTATCCTGTAGCACCACACCATAGTTTTGTTTAAAAAAATACAAAATAGCTTCTCTTCATCTTTATTTTGTTAGTCAATGCTTTGAAATTATCTCTGTGGCTGACACCAAGACTACCTGCATTGTTAAAAACTGGATTGCTGTTACCCTCTTCCCCTGGCTCAGCCCTGCCGTCTGTGTACGGGGGCGCCTGGGGGCACTTTATAATGATGTCTCCACAGCCCAGTCAACCATGCCTACACTGAGCAGAGCTGTTTGAGGCGCTTCCTGTAATGTTTCATACTGTTGTGCTGTTGACATTTGGTGCATGTGTTTGTCATTGACACACAAGCTCCCAGTACAGCTGGAAACCTTGCCTTTCATGTTGAAGCTGTTTTTAAAGGAAATGTCCCTACTTATCTCAAAGCCAGAGAGACTGGAGGGAAGGGAGGAGTTTGTTTGCCTACATCTTCAAACGAGCTGAGTTTGGGGAATGGCATCAGGACCCTGTTGAATTTGCTCCCCACAAAGGCAGACTTCTGTTGCTTTTCCCAAGATCCTGACACAGGGGTGTTTGTCTTTAATGTCACGAAAGGAGATAACACAGCTGTGTTTATGGTGGGAGTTACCTGCAATTTATGTTCTAACTTAAACATTTAAGAAGATTAGCTGTTTCCTTTCATTGAGGAACTTTTTTTTTTTTCAGCTTGTATAAATCTTTCAGCGTTAGGAAGATGATTGAAAAATCAGGCCCTCTATTCTCTGGGACAGAGTTGGGATTATTAAAGCGATAGCATTTTGGAATGTGGACATACATACAATTTCACTTCAAAAGAGCAAAAAAAAGCAAATGAGGAAGAACTAACAAGGCTGGTTATCTAAATAGGAACAGACATTTCTTGGGCGATTTGTGAAACCCAAGCTGGTCTGATCATGAGCCACCCTCCTTGTTATATCTGTTCCTGTATTATTTTGTTCTAGTCTAAGACACATTAGAATTTATTATCCTGATCAAAAGTTCCCCTCGGTCTCTTGGTAAGCACCCACCAAAATGCCTTCTTAGGGTTTTGCAAGTTCAGTTTGAATTGATTCCAAAGATATTATAAAGACCGTTTGCAGATGATAACTGAGCTTCTTGTCCCCTTGTCATTTTCTTATGACATCAAAACAACCCACTTCCCACAGGATCCACTAGAACTGCCTCATGGAGTTTTTTGAGGCGGTAAATCTTTATGAAAGCTGACTGGCATGTCTTTCTTCTGCTGAGTGGATGGTGGGCTCAAACTGCTGACCTTTTGGTTCACAGTCAAGCTCTTTAACCACTGTGCCACTAGGGTTCCTTTTCCATAGACCAGAACCCAAACCCAAACCAAACCCTCTGCCCTCACATTGATTCTGACTCACAGTGACCTGATAGGACACAGTAGAACTACTCCCAGCCCATCCTCCTTCTGTGGAGCAGCTGGTGGCTTTGAATTGATGACCTTGTGGTGAGCAGCTTCACGTTTAACCCAATATAACTCTGGGACTCCTTTTTCCAAAGACAGTAGCTCCTAAATACTTCTTTTCCTGTGGCCATAGCTTTCTCCAGGTTGAGTGTGTGTATACAGGAGACATTTCTAGACCTCAGAAAGAGTATAGATTGACTATGTCCCTACTCTTTATTAAAGTACAACTTGATCAATATTTTACCAGGTTTCCTTATGAAAGTTTGTCCTTCCCACCTCTTGTGTCCTGAACACTGTATGCTTTAAAATAATCTTTTAAAAAAGTGTTTATTCATTCCGTAGACTCCTGTCAACTTCTTGATGAGAGAGAGTAGAGGAAAGGCTGATTGGTATGAAGTTTGGGGAGACTTGGGAACTCCTGAGTCTATGGACATTAATCTAGCTGTGGAGGGCTAGAGCTGAGAGGGAAGCGACCAGCTGATATGGAGTAGGGGGAGACGCACAAGAATGCCCAAAGTTGTAGATAGTACTCATTTGACCTAGCTTCAATGGCTTGAGGACTGGAGCTCGACTAGAGGAAGATAAAGAAATTTGATAAAGGAAAAAAGTGTAACTTGCTACAATTTGATGAATTTTACCTATACTTATTGACGTAGTAGCTCAAAATACCAATCAAGAGGGAAGGAGTCTTCATATTAAGGATCAAGCGTATCCCCTTGATACACAGGGTTGATAGGGATGGGCAACTTAGACATTGGCTACCTAAAATGGGGGGTGGCTATAAAGGCAAGAAGTGGCTGACTTACAAGTTTTCAAAAGC